CCGTAAACCGTAGCACAGGCTATTTTTCAAAATTCGTCATCTGTGGGATTTGAACTCTAGACCTGCTACTTGGAGAGGGTGACGACTAGACCACTACACTAAATCGCCACACTTTTATAAAATCTTTGTTAAATTGTAGTGTCTCATATCAATATAGTTATGCTGTATTTAGTCGTATACCCAATATTTAGAGTAGTTTCAAGAACAAGGAACCCACTAATTACATCATGATTAAATGTTCAGCCTAAATTAGAGTTAGTGTTAAGGTTAGATGATAGAATAATTTAGGCTATAGTTGTTAGACGAAACTTTGAGGTTTCGTGCTGACAAAACGCGAAACCTAGTTTCGTCTTTCATCAATTAAAATCTCAAATAACAAAATGACGAAAGGTGACAAAACTGGCAAAAGGTGACAAAACTGACAAAAGGTGACAAAACTAATAAAAGGTGACAAAACTGCAAAGGGTACAAAACTAATAAAAGATGAGAAACAGAAGCAAGTGTAAGTAAGGGCACCACTAGCTCCTACATTTATGTTTATATAAAATTAAAATTTAAAACATACAATTATATCAATTTTAATAAGTAACTTAAGAAGTAATTTATTAATTAAGCAAATTAGCACAATTAAAAAAATTAACAATAAATACATGGATTATTCCACATATTTCTGTATATAGATATCAATTAAAAAAATTATTATGCCTATTAGATAAATCAATAAAAGACTTTATTAATAAATTAGTACAGATAATAAAAATTAATAAGATGTATATATATTGTTTTCAGATCTTCAATTATAAACTATTATTATGCTTTTCAGTTAATGTTTCACTCAAAATTGTGTTATTTCCAAAATTTTTCGGATTTATTCCAAATTCTGAAATCAATATATAATTTAAGTATTATAATAATTAATGCGAAGTTTACCTATTCTATTCAACAGACTATTTTATGTCAATTTGAATAGCTTATTTTAAATACTGTTGAACTTTCCAAAACAGAACCAATCCTGCCAAAGTTAGCAACCTGTAATCTTATAAAAAGTTTATCTGCAAAATCTGTTTTTGCTATATGAAATCTAATAGTTTATAATGGTTTCAGATTTGATGACCTCTCAATACTGAACAAAATCTGCTCACTATGCATATTGGCTTTAAGAGGTTTAACAGTATGTATTTAATAAAACATTCAATTCTTTATTGGAATACTTTGAGATTCTAGTTATTTATATATATTCAAAGTGCATTAATGATTTTACACATATTCACGAATTTAAATCTTTCAAAACCAATGTATAGTAAATAGCTTTGTATTAGTATTAAGAGCCCATTAGATTTGAAACAATTATAAATTATTAGATTTATATAATGGCAAGGGACTTGGTATATTAATTTCTTATTAGATTTCAATTTTGATGAAATTGGTTTTAGGAAGTTCAACAGTATGAATCTAATAGCTTATAATGTTATCAAATCTGATTATTTCTCAATACTGATACAAGATTTGCCTATTATGCATATTAGTTTTTGAAAAGTTAATAGTAGTTGAAACTGGGTAGTGAGGCTTCTTGCATATTCAATTATCTGATTAATAGAATTTTGAGTACATGATTGGAGCATATTTGAATATACTCAATCATAGCTTTAGACTCTTTAAATTAAGTCTATAATATAGGTAATTACAAATATTTTAAAAAATTGTATATTAAAAAAATTAGTATTGCCTAAATTTCAGATTTAAATTTGATAAAATATTTATATAAGAAATTTAATAAGTGGTTTTTGAGAAAGTTAATAAAAATTATAAGTTACAGTATGTTATAAATTATTAATTTTTTAAAATAATATAATATAAAAACTTACAGAATAACAAAAATATTATTGTTTATATATAAAATAATTTAATATAAATATAAAAAATAGTTTTTTAAAATATTAAATTTTACTTACTAATCATTATCAGCCATTAATAAATCTTCTGGGTTCTAATCATAATCTTCAGACTCAAAAGTTTGATTTTCTTCATTATTATCTATAGGTTTATTATTTTCTGATAAATAGTTATTATCACTATCATTATCATCAGAAAATTTTTCCAAATCATCAATAAAAATTCAATTATCTAAATCTAACTCTTTTTCTAAAAATAAAACCAAGTCTTCTTTAGTTTTTATATTACTTTGAAATAAAGAATCTGAATCTGAATTTGATTCTTAATCATTATTAAATAATATTTCTTTATCAAAGCCTTCTTTTTTTAATGTTTTTTCAAATGTTTTACTATTTGTTTGCTTTAATATTTTTAATAATTCCTCTTCGGTCATTTCATTAGCAAAGTATGAAAGTTCTTTTTTAGCATTAGAATTATAAAAAGTGCATAATTTTGCTATAGTTTCTAATTTTTCAGTACTAAGTTGAATACGTTTGTTTCCAGTTAACCAAGTAAGTAAAGAAAAATTTTTTTCACAAAATGCACTATTAGGAGTAATAGCTAAAATTTTTAATGCTATTTCTTGCAAATAAGTTGGTTCAGGTTCTAAAAAATTCACCATAATAATGGTGTATTGTGTCCTTGAGCATATGATACATCATAAAGATATTTATTTTCTTTATATAAATGAAAATAGGCTGCTATAGATAGTATCACTACTAGTATGATTATTATTTAATTTTTGCTATATTGTGCCTACTATTAAAATAATTCTAGAAAATTGCCCTTTTTTTAATCCAAGATCTAAATTATAAAATTAATAAAATATTTAATAATTTAAAATAGTTTATATTTAAAATATACTTACTTCGAAAATTTGGTGTTAAAAAATATCTTAACAAATATAAATCATCATCAAATTCTTTAAATCTTTTGTTTATAATACTAAAACAATATCTACGAAATTTGGGTTGTTGATGAATTGGTAATTTTTTAATTGCAGCTGCAGATTTTGCTAAGCTTAAATAACAATCACCAAGATTTGCATATTTGCTTTCTAATAATAAAATAGATTTTTTTAAAGATAATAAAACAAAATTTAGTATTTTTAAATAATTAAAAAAAGTATATCGATTAATAATATTATTAATTTGGTCATTTGTTAAAATATTATCTTTAGCAATCTAAAATAATTAATTATAATTAAAACATTTTAGTTAATATTTAATATAAGTAGATATATATAATTAGTATAAAATTATAATTTATTAAAATTGAATATTTTAGATTAATTTAACCAAATTTATAAATAGTTTGAATTAGAGTAAAAGGTAGTATTTAATTTAGCTTAAAATAAATAGTTTTTATATTATAATAATTTTATATATTTACTTATACTAAAATATATCTATAATAAATTACCTTTTTTAAAACTTTTTCTAAACGTATTACACTTTCAACTAAATCACTTGCAGTAGTCCATCTAGTTTTTGAATAATTTTTAAGCCACCTCTATCAATTTTATATTCTTCTATTAATAATCTTATTTCTACTCCTTTAATTTATAAATATATAAATTTTATATTAAATAAATGTATATCATTTAAATAATAAAATTATAATACATATCTGCTTGATGTTAAGATTTAAAAAAATTATATAATATATTGCATTTTTTTATTAATTTATCAGCCCATTCATTTTTTAAAATATTTTGTGCAACTAGGTTTATTGCATATGCAATACATCTAATACTAAAAATATATGGATATTGTGTAGTAACCATTTCTGCTCCAATTGAATCCAAAATATCTTCAATTTTATTAGCTAAAAACTTTGCAGTATGGCTCTCATTTGAAAAATCACAAAGCTTATATAAATATTCTTTACGCTCTGGTGTAATAACTATAAATTTCAATAAGAATAATTTTTTTTACTACTCCATTCATCTAATGCTAAATTAATAATTTATAAGTTATTATAATATTTTATACAGATTAATTACAAAAAATAATAATAAATTATAATAAATATAGTTACCCAATGTTAAATTTGAATATTGTTTAAAAATTTTATTCATTTTTTGATTAACTATTGCTAATTGTTGCTCTAACAGATTATTAGACAAAAGTTGTCATATAGTTGGTTCATATAATAAATTCATTTCTTTTAAAGCTTCAATAAAAAAGAGATTTTCAATAATTCACTATAAAATTCTATATATTGTAAAAGCTTTAGACTAAGCAAGATGAATTCTTTTGATTTTTTGATTATTTAATTTTATTAAACTAACATATTGATTAAGTGGTCCTTGACTAATCTTTCTTTTTTTACTAGATTCCCCTTGTTCAGAATTATTAGAAAGAATTTTTGTAAGAAATTGACAAATAATTGTTGAATCAGCTTTTTGACAGTGATTAGCTAAATGATTTTCTAATTCACTAGATTCACCACAATTCCAAGTTAGTTTACAAAAATTAAATGTTGCTTCATATTTTCCTTTTCCAACTTGTTTTCCTTTTGTAAAATAATTTCAAACTGAACCCTCTGGATGGCCACCAATATTTTTAACTACTTTTTTACCTTTATCTATATTTGAAGTTGATACATTACTAACTTCTTCATCAGAACTCATTTTATATAAATCTAAAATAAATGATTTTTATAAGTAATTTATATTTAATAATATAATTATATAATATAAAGATTTTGCTTAAACAAATACTAAAATTTAAAGTATTTGCTTAAACTCAAATTATAAAATAAACCACATTTGCTTATAACTTACTAGTTTATCTATTTCAAGTTTTGACACAATATAGGTATATATATAGCTATTTTATATATATAAACTTAATATTGATATATGTTAATACAAGATATATTTCAGAAAGCTAAATTTGATATACTATATAGTTCTGAAATTAAGTATCACCCCTCTATCCCAATTTTTGAATCTCAGATTAGCGGAATTTGTAATAAGATCTTTGACCAAATTACTTCCATTAATCTGAGATTCAAAAAATTGGGGTAGAGAAGGTGGTACTTAATTTCAGAACTATATGGTAACAATATTATAAATTTTTAAAAGTTTATTATTTGCTAGATAATTACTTACATAACAGATTTTAAAGCTATTAATTTAAATTATAAAATTAAACTTTTTGCTGTATCTTAAAGTTTTCAAGAGAAAAATTGGTTGAATCGATAATTTAATTATGAAATTAAACTTTATTGCTGTGTCTTAAAGTTTTCAAGAGAAAATTGATTGAATCGATAAATTTACTAATTTTATTACAATACATTTATATTTATATTTATTCATTTATTTAAATATTTAGAAATGTTAATGGCTTGTTTGCCTATTTATAATTTCTCTAATGGCTTTTTAAAACTAAATATACAAGCTGGGTTAAACCAATAAACATCTTCAGCATTAAATATAATAACTGAGAGATGCTAATGGCTTATTTGTCGTTTAAAATTTCTGTAATTGGCTTTTAAAACTTAAATATACAAGCCGGGTCGAGCCAATAAATATCTTCAGCATTAAACATTATAGTTGAGAGATGCTAATAGCTTATTTGCTATTTATAATTTCTGTAATTGGCTTTTTAAAAACCTTAATATACAAGCCGGGCCAAGCCAATAAACATCTTCTCTTCAGTATTAAATATAATGAATTAAGATATTAGTTGCTTATTTAACTATATATTTATAATTATTGTGAACGGCTTTTTAAAACATAAATATACGTACAAGTCAATAAACACTTTAAGTATTAAATATAAATAAAAAGCCTCATTAATGATTTATCGATGAGTTAAATATTTGAAATTATGATTATTTTAATATTTTTATTAATAGCTTCATCAAAAACAAATTTTCTCAAATTTTTAGTAGTGATTTTTTCGCGAAAGAAGTAGGGATTCACTATTATCATAAAATTCTAGCAATCCGCTTTTTTTTTTTTTTTTTTATTTAGTGAATTTAATGTATTAGAAGAAGTACGTATATTTTTTATTACGCATTTGAATTTATATTTAAATTACTAATTCATTATTACATTTCTTATGCGGTTGATAATTAATGACTATATTATGTGTCACATTTGAGTCATTGATCGATGGAGCTTGATCATGGGTATTTGAGCGCAAAATTTTTTTGGGCCCTTATTTGTAATAATTTTCAAAAATTGGACCTCTATTTGTAATTATTTTCATTTTGGGCCCTTATTTGTAATTATTTTCAGTTTTGGGCCCTTATTTGTAATTTCCCAAAAAAATTATGATTAGTGTTTTGCATAATTCAGTAATATAAAATTGTAAATTACTAAAATTATGCAAAATGCCATTCATGAAAGATGGTCTTTCGAAATTATTTTGCCATTATACGTTACTGATCTCGTAATTTATGAATTGCTAAATGTGTTGAATGAATTTCCAGATGATTTTTTAATTAAGTGAGTTCCCAAGCGGTTTTACCACAAAATCCCGAAAGACAGATTCCCGAAAGGACCCAATATCGACAAAGTTAGCCGGCATTAGTTATAATGCTGGCCAATTTAGTCGGTATTATATTCTTTCGGGAAAATGGTTTTCGAGAATTTGTGGTAAGCCCTTCCCAAGCATCTCAATCAATTGATTAAACAATGATCGTAATAACGCTCAAGCATCATATTCAATAATTATATTTAGAAAATGCTTGATCGTTTTTTGTAATCTTTGCAATGCTTCTAAAATAATTAATAAAATTTTTCTATTTAAAGCTGTCAATGCTTCAACTTAAGTTATGATATCTTCTTTTGATGATTTTACCATTTAAATTTTTGTTACAACAAATCTATTACATTCATTTCAAGGTATCGATTATTTGTTTTAAAGCTTCGAGAGATTTTATAGTGATCAAAATGGTGTATAAGTATTATGATGATGTAATTTTAGCTATCACCATAACTTTTTTAAATAAAGTTAATAATACGAACGACAATATTATTGAGATATGCTCGTGCATTACTATTGCTCACCCTACCAAATAATTGATTGTGAGGCAATTTTTTGAACTCAACGAATTGATTAATGGCGCAGTCACAATGAATCAATTACCGTATAGCATTGAACAAAAGGCCCTCTTTTTTAAGTATCCCACACAAAATACACTGGCACAAATCACAATATCTCTGTTAATTAAATGTAGGTTTTAAATTTCTAGACCACTTATTGTAAATGCAAAATATATATGTACTTGAAAAAATTTTTTCTTTATGACACAGAATAATATACCCAATAAATCCGGATCTTTTATAATTTTTTGGAGGGATTTTATATTAGACCCGGGTCTTTTGCAAATTTTTTGGTGGGTATTTTGTATTAATCCCGGGTCTAGTGCTCCACAATACGGATTCGATTCGCAAATCCATTTAGAAGTCTATAATTTGCGGATCCTGCGGATCTGAATCCAAAGAGAGATTCGATCGAATAATATTCGATTCAGATCCATTATTATTATTGTATTACCGAAATATACAACTGCCAAAACTCTTATTTCTTGCGACTTATTATTTTTTTTTAAAAGCATATAAAATATTACTGTTCAATTATATCGAGCTAATAGTGAAAGATATCATCGAACTTCATTGAAGGATTTTAACGTGCAGCATATATTAATATGATTGTGCGTGGGTTAAGAAGATTCAGGTGCGAATCTTGCTTCTTGAGGACTGTAGCAAGTTTATTTCTTATCGTTATGTTTAGTTCTGAAAGCAAATTAAGCAGTTAATTAAAATCACAAATAATAATAATAATAATAAACCATATTACAAAAGAAAATAAATACCATATTAGGGTAGCTGAGCGACGCAGTCGCGCTAAAACTAGGAACGTCATATGAGTATAACTTAAATTTTCAGAAATAGGGGTATTGTGTTTATAATTGAGATTATAATAAATTGGAGTTAAAACTTTATTTTCTTGTGGAATTAAATTATATTGTTGCTTAATTTAGGTATTTTTTTCATCCATTATTTTACACTATCAATAATTTCATTCCAACTATGTTTCTACTATTTTTATTACCAATTATAACTATACTTAACATCGTTTACTTAAGATTAAGGTTATATAAGCTATGGGCTTTATTTTAAGAACTTTACAATAATATTTGATTGGCTAAAAATTATTTATTATCTCCTTATAATAAAATTATCGTCTGTCATGATTTAGAATATAATTTTATGAAAGACTTCAGCTAATGATTTCCTACATTCAGAACAAATAGAGTAAATTTAAATATTAAAGAGTCAAAGTATTATTTATTAAAAGGGCATCTTCTAATGCTTCCCTGCTTAATGACTAAATTGGTTACAGTTAGTCTCTCTAAATGCAACCTTTTACTCTAGCCCAAATATATACCAAACCCTCATAAATGCAATTTTTCTTATTATTTTCTAAATGTAAGCCGTCTAAAGTCTGATCCCTTCGAGTTGCATTTAGAAAAGTATGTTCTAAGTCCAAAGAAGACATTGTCGTATTCTTACATAGCGCTTCTGCCAATGCTTTCTCACCCTCAATACCAAGTTGATTATAGGAAAGATACAAAGAATTCAAAGCAGTGTTTATATAAAGGGCCTCTGCTAATGATTTCCCTACATCAGGGCCAAAGTCATTACTACCAATATCTAAAGAAGTCAATGTAATATTCTTGCATAGAGCCTCTGCTAACGCTTTCCCACCCTCAGAACCAAGCTTATTATAGTAAAGCTTTAAAGAAGTCAGGGTAGAATTCTTGTATAAGGCTTCTGCTAATGCTTTTCCACCCTCAGAACCAAGTTCGTTATTGCTAAGATTTAAAGAAGTTAGAATAGAATTCTTACATAGAGCATCCGCTAACGCCTTCCCACCCTCAGAACCAAGTTGATTATAGTGAAGATTTAAGGAAGTTAGAGTAGAATTCTTGCATAGAGCCTCTGCTACCGCTTTCCCACCGTTAGAACCAAGTTGATTATAGGAAATATTTAACGAAGTTAGAGTATTATTTGTATGAAGGGCCTCTGCAAATACTTTCCCACCCTCAGAACCAAGGTTATTATAAGAAAGGTTCAAAGAAGTCAATGTAGAATTTGTACAAAGAACCTCAGCTAATTTTTCCCCTGCTTCAGAACCAATTTGATTATTGCCAAGATTCAATGAAGTCAGAGCTGTATTCATGAATAAAGCCTCCAACAACGATTTCACACCCTCAGAACCAAGTTCATTATATCGAAGATCCAAAGAAGTCAGAGTAGTGTTTATACAAAGGGCCTCTGATAATGCTTTTCCGCCTTTAGAACCAAGTTGATTAATGGAAAGACTTAGAGAAGTTAAGGTAGTATTTATACAAAGAGACTCTGCTAAAGTTTTTCCACCTTCAAAACCAAGCTGATTAATAGAAAGATTTAGAGAAGTTAAAGTAGTATTTGTATAAAGAGCCTCTGCTAAAATTTTTCCACCTTCAGGACCAAGTCGATTATCACTGAGATCCAATGAAGTCAAAGTAGAATTCTTACATAGAGTCTCCGCTAACGCTTTTCCACCCTCAGGACCAAGTTCATTTTGTTGAATATTTAAAGTAGTCAAAGTAGAATTCTTGCATAGAGCA